ACCCCCTGTAAATTATAATCACATCCTGTTTCTGGGGATTCGAACCCGCCACCTTAGGTGTACGTGGCTGGCGCCTTAGCCGGTTGAGCTATAGGCGCCGAGCCTCCTTTGCAGTTTTTAAGTCTTTTTTCCTTATAGACCTCTCCCTTCGAGTGCTGGTTTTTGGGTAAATGGATGGAGCCTATTAGTATAATAGCCAGACTTTCTTATAGGATGCCTAGGCATGGACAGGTGGACAGTTTGGGATTCTCCTGACAACCTCAGTAATAAGGACTTTATTTCAGAGGTGGATTTCAGTTACTCTGTTCAGTAAATGCTACTGTATGTATAATAGTCCCTGTATGAAGTGGTGATAGTAATAATTATGACTAATGTTTTTTGAGTGATTGATATTTATCCTGAGCATTTTATGTATTTGAAGTTCTTTAATAGTCGTACCAATCTGACATGGAAACTGAAGCCCAGAAAGGTTAAGTTTTGATAATAGTTAATTGCCTTTTTAAATCAAGTAGTCTTAATTGCAGTTCTCATGCTCTTAACAACTAAACATACTCCCTTTTTAGGAAGAAACGTAGAAAATGAGCAATTTTTCAAGGAGATTATTGTATATTAGCATTTTAATTATGTATAGAAATGTTAGGTTGGTTTAATCTTTGTGACTGAAGGATCTTTTAATTCTTTCCCCATAATTATTTAATGATGTTTTGTGTACCTGTTATTCATAAGTTTTAATTGTGATTATTTTACTTACAGTTTATTCCAATGCCTGTTCTGTATGGTGTTTTCCTTTATATGGGAGTTTCCTCATTAAAAGGAATCCAGGCAAGTCTTAAGTGTTCAACGGTTTTGTAGAAGAACTTAAAAAAATTTTAAATTTGCAAAATTTATTTTAATGATGATAGTGATTATTCTCAACACTTTGATAGTTTGGAACATGTTAGTTTTTTCACTGGTGATTTCCAATCACATTTTCCAAGTGATAATTCCTTACTCCATATTTTACTCCCAGAGAATAAGACCACAAATTGATAATGGTTCTGGTCCTTACCTGTTTTTAATTAAAGACATTGTAAGGCACTGTAACTCTCTCAGTAAAGACAAGGAGAGTGAGAGGGAGGATCAGAAAGATTATAATGGGGAAAAAGTGCCATGTCTGGCATGTAGAACAGCAGTTTCAGTACTTGAAAAGGTAGATGTTAATTTCTTATAAAAATCGTGTAAGACCTTTTGTTTGTGTGGCACAGTGTAGTTCATAAAGCCTAGCATGTAAATCATTTTGTGAGCCTGAAAACACCATTTGGGAGAGGGGCAAGGAAGAAATTCTTATTTTGTAAATCAGGAACAGAGAAATAGAGGGAGGACTTGAAGTTTATTAGCTAAGGAAGTAACGAAGTCAAGGTTAGAACTCAGTGATATCACTACTTTGTTTTGTTTTACTTACAATAGTTTCTGGAAAAAACCTAACAAAACTTTCTAAGATTTATATGAATCAAATTTTAGTATAAAACATTCAGATCATAAAACAGTTAACACCACATGGCTACCTCTTACTGTGAAAAGCATGTCTAAAGTTGCCAAATCATGGCCAAGAGGCTGACACAGCTTCTCAAAGACAGTATCTTTATATTTTCAGCACCATCCAGGAACTACTCTCTATTGGTCAGAAAATTATTTTATTATCTCACTTGATTTCTACAATAGTTTTGGGGGATGAAAAAGGCTAATCTTATTCTAAATTTGTAAATGAGGAAATTAAAGCTCAAAAAGAGCAAGAAATTTGTTCATAGTTTTATCTTCCGTGAGTGAAGAATTGGGTTATTTTCTGATGTTAGACTTGGAAAGAGCCTGAGAAGTAAATCAGGTTATTGTTCTTTATTTGTACATATTTTAAAAAAGGTCAAAGAAATTAAATGGGCATTTGATTATAGCAGATAAATTTATCCAAGTATTTTGATCTCCCAAATTTAAGCATTTTGGTTTGAGTTTTCGGATTAAATTAGTTGTTGTAGTTAAGTGATTGCCTTGATTTTTTTCCCCCTTTCATTGGGTCCAGAGATTCTTTGCTGAATTCTTCTAATACCAGAACATATCAAGAAAGTTATAGTTTAATGCACAAAACTCTAAAATTGAGAATAATTTCTTCACCTATATAGCAAGAATGATGTTTTGTTGAGAACTTTTTTCTTTATTCTTTTCCATTTTATGCAGTTTTTTGACCGTATAAAATTATTTGGAATGCCTGCTAAGCATCAGCCTGATTTGATATACCTCCGCTATGTGCCCCTCTGGAAGGTCCACATTTTCACAGTCATTCAGCTTACTTGTCTGGTTCTCTTGTGGGTGATAAAAGCTTCAGCTGCTGCAGTAGTTTTTCCCATGATGGTAAGTTCAGAGTTATTTTGTCACTAATTAATAACATTTTTGTGTATTTTTATACTAACGCATTCATTAATATGAAACGTAGTAGCCCATTTTAAGGTGTTTGAAGATGTGGATTAGCTGTCTCTAGATAGAAACCAGTTGTTTATCTGTCTGAATTGTTTTAATCTCTCAATGTTTATTTTGTTTTTAGTCCTTAGGCCATTGAACTGTTTTGTATTTTCAACAACTTCAGATTTTAGGATATTTATGAAACAAATATAATAGTCCAATATAAAAAGCAAAGCAACAAAAACATGGTTCACTAATGAATTACTCACCCTGGGAGTTTCAGGTGGCTGTGAGCTAGGCTGATGCTGAAGCCTTCTAGCATAGGCAACAAACAGAGTGAGACTCTGACTCAAGAAAACTCCAGGCTCGGCGCCTATAGCTCAACCGGCTAAGGCGCCAGCCACGTACACCTAAGGTGGCGGGTTCGAATCCCCAGCCCGGACCCGCCAAAACAACAATGACGGCTGCAACCAAAAAATAGCCGGGCATTGTGGCGGGCGCCTGTGGTCCCAGCTACTTGGGAGGCGGAGGCAGGAGACTCGCTTGAGCCCAGGAGTTGGAGGTTGCTGTGAGCTGTAATGCTACGGCACTCTACCCAGGGGGACAGCTTGAGGCTCTGTCTCAAAAAAAAAAAAGAAAACTCCAAAAACCAAAAAATAAAAATTATATTAAAGAATGTAAAATAAGATCTCAACAAATACTAAGTTCCCTGTTATAAAGACTTAGTATCACAAAAATTTCAGTTATCTGAAAAATAGCATTTAAATGAAATATAGTACCAAATATGAATTTTACTGGAGCTTTATTTCAGTGTATGTATCGGATTGGGGGACAGTGTCATCATGAACTGGATAAGTAATTTCAAAGCTTATAGAGAAAAATGAATGCCAGACCTACAACAACATGGATGGTCGAAATGTTCTTTATTTTGTTTGGGTGTGGATTATATATACACACACACACACATATATATATATTTGTCAAAATCATCAAACTGTACACATGCTATTTTCTGTTTTGCCATCTGTAAATTATATACTTATTAAAATACAGTAAAAAATATCAGAGAATAGCAAGATAAAAATAATTATAATGAAGAAGGATCCTTGCCCAGTGGTGGGGTTGTGGGACTTGCCATCTACTTGACTTTTTCTGTGCTGATACCATACTGTTTTGAAACCAAAGATTTAGAAATTGCCATTAAGTTAGTGTAGTTAGCAAAATATGGAGTTGGCACAGGAATAAGCAGATAGATAAGAAAATATAAACTGGTGAGTCCAGAAATTTATCTGAACTTTGGAATTTTATCACTTGAATACCATAAGTAGAATATTTCATTAAAGGTGGTATTTTATTTCTATGGGAAAACTTAGTACATAATGTTGAAAATTTATCTACTAGGAGATTCTGCTCCCTATCTGGTACCATATTCAGAATGAAATCATAAATAAATTCATGATTTAAAGGTTAAAGTAAGTTGTGGTAGAAAATTTATAAGCATATTTGTATAATCCAGTGATTAGGCATAATTTTACAAAGATAGAAAAGCCCAGCTATACGAGAAAGATATGCTGTATTTGACTACATGATAATTAAATGTTTTGTTCTATGTTCAAAGAGTATCAAAAACAGTGAAATCAGATTGTGAACTGGGAGAAAACATTTTAACACATAAGGCAGATAAAGGGTTTCCATCTAAACCACACAGAACTCTTACAAATTCATAAACAAAAGTCATAAAACCCAGCAAAAACAGGCGAAGGTTAGAAAATAGCAAGTAACAGAAGAGGAAATCTGAATGGCTGGTCAACACTTGAAAACAAGTTCATCTTCAGTAGCAGTTGAAGAAAAGTGTATTCTCTTATATGAATGAAAAGTTAAAATCTGATGTTGGGACTAGGTACTCTAATTCATTACTTAAGGTATTTTGAAAATTATATATACTTATATAAAATTTCAAGTTATAAAAAGCAATCTTTTTGATGATATTCAACATAATTAACCTGCTTCATACCCTTTTTTCTCCTTTATAACTTTTTTTGAGCAGAAACTTAAAAAAAATTGGTGACTCAATTCCTTTGAAATAAGATGGTGTATGAATAACTTTTAAGTAAAGTATATGAGGCATTTTAAAATTACTTATAAGATATAATAAGTACCTGTTTCCTCTTTAACTGGTATAATTTGTGTCACTTAATCCTTCCCCCCCCCACTTTTTAAAGGTTCTTGCATTGGTTTTTGTACGCAAGCTTATGGACTTATGTTTTACTAAAAGAGAACTTAGTTGGCTTGATGATCTCATGCCAGAAAGTAAGAAAAAGAAAGAAGATGACAAAAAGAAAAAAGAGAAAGAGGTAAAAACACTTAAATTCATAACATTTCTTTGTTTAATAACTAGCTTCTAGAAGGTTGTACTCCCTATCTGATACCATGTTCAGAATAAAATCATAAATGAATTCTCTATTTAAATGGTTAAATAAGTTATAGAAAATTTATAAGAGTATTTATACAATCCAGTGATTGGGGATAAGCTTTAACTTTATATGCACTCTTACGTGCCATCATTAGTTTGCACATTGAGATTTGTTTATTTTATAGATTGATTAATTGAGATTAGGTCTTGCTATATCACCCAGGCTGGTCTCAGACTCCTGGGCTGGAATGATCTTTCTATTTATTTCTCCTGGGTAGTTCAGATTATAGGCATAAACTACCATGCTCAGCTTGTATTGAGATTTAAGCATGAGTGCTTTATTCTGAATTTGATTTTTGTTTTGGTTTTCAATAACCAACTTGGCGCTATTAATAAGAAGTTAATAAGAAGGAAAAGTATAGACATTATATAGCATCAATGCTTTTTGTTGATTGTAGTGCCTAGCTTAATATTCCCATTCAAAATATTATTTAAAAATCGAAAGTAAGAAGAAAGATAAATATTTTTAAATGTTATGGTCTTATTTAAACATAGGTAAAAAGTTACTGGAATTAAGGCTCCAAAATTTTAAAGTTAAGATTTTTTTTTTTTTTGTTTGTTTTTGAGTGGTGCCTGTGGCTCAAAGGAGTAGGGCACTGGCCCCATATACTGGAGGTGGCAGATTCAAACCTGGCTCTGGCCAAAAAAAAAGACTTTTTTTTTTTTCCGGAGAAGTCATTTTATTGCCCTTGGTAGAGTGCCATGGAGTCATAGCTCACAGCAATCTCAAACACTTGGGCTCAAGTGATTCTCTTGTCTCAGCCTCCTTAGTAGCTAGGACTACAGGTGCCCGCCACAATGCCTGGCTATTTTTAGAGCCGGGGTTTCACTCTTATTCAGGCTAGTCTCGAACCTGTGAACTCAGGCAGTCCACCTGCCTTGGCCTCCCAAAGTGCTAGGATTACAGGCGTGAGGTACTGCACCTGGCAAAATTAAAATTTTTTTCTTCAAAGTTATATATATATATAAATATTTATGAGTTTTTAGTGATTTTTTTTCAAATAAGATGTAATTCATTTGTAAAATACTTATGTCAAATTGCCTGTTTGTTACTTCCTACATTAGAATGATGTATGTAACAAACACCAAAAGTAATAGGGCTTTTATACATGAGAATTTATTCTTTCATGTAAGAAGAACTCTTGAAAGCAAGAGATGTGTAGTCTTGTGGCTCCATAGAGTTACCAGAGATTCCTTGTTACTTTTTTCCTGTCCTCAGCCTATAGTTTTCATCCTCCAATTCACTTTTGGGGGGCAGAATGGCTGGCAAAGTCCAGCCATCATGTTATCATTAGAGATGGCAGGGAAAAGGAAAGATAGAAGACGAAACGGGCTTTACCTCATTGTTGTATTTCAGGGAGACTTTCTTGAGTGTCACCGAATTAAGTTCTGCTTGCACCAGGTCTGTTCTGACCATGTTGCCAAGAATGCTGGGAATTTTAGTTTGGGTGTTTTTATTTTGCTTTGTTTTTTGAGACAGAGTGTCTCTGTTGCTTTGGGTAGAGTGCAGTGGTGTCATAATAGTTCATTGCAACCTCAAACTCCTGGGTTCAAGTGATCCTCCTGTCTCAGTCTCTCAGGGCTGGGACTACAGGGATATACCCCCATGTCTGGCTAAGTTTTGTAGTTTTTGTAGAGATGGGGGCTTGCTCTGGTTCTGGCTGTCTCAAACTCCTGAGCTCAAGTGATCCTTCTGTCAGAGTGGTAGGATTATAGGTTGGAGCCACGTGCCACCAGCCAGGGTGGTTTTGTTTGTTAAATCTGGGTGTACATTGTTACCTCCAAATATTGGATTTTTTTAGTAAGGAAGAAAAGTAAGAATGCTCTCTCAATCTCTCCTGGACTGTCCTGTCTACCACCCTCATTATTAACATATTATAATTTTGTTCTTTGTCCACTGTTTAAGTGGTTCTCAGCCTGTAGTGACCCTCCTTCCCCCAGCATTTTTAACTCTGGGACATTTTGTCATACTGGAGGGCTGCTGCTGGCATCCAGTGGGTAAAGTCCTGGGATGCTATGAAATACCTGTATACACTTATTTCTGCAACACAGATTCATTAGACCTTAAATGCCAGTATTATTGAGGTTGAGAAACCCCTGCTTTGTCCAAATGAAGTTTTCCTCATTTTGTGATGAGAGACATGAGATTTCACAAAATCTTACCTCTTATGGTATACCTACATGGCAATTGATAATCAGAATTTACATAGTTCACTTTTTTTTTTTTTTTTTGAGACAGAGCCTCAAGCTGTCCCCCTGGGTAGAGTGCCGTGGCATCACAGCTCACAGCAACCTCCAACTCCTGGGCTCAAGCGAGTCTCCTGCCTCCGCCTCCCAAGTAGCTGGGACTACAGGCGCCCGCCACAACGCCCGGCTATTTTTTGGTTGCAGCCGTCATTGTTGTTTGGCGGGTCCGGGCTGGGGATTTGAACCCACCACCTTAGGTGTACGTGGCTGGCGCCTTAGCCGCTTGAGCTATAGGCGCCGAGCCCATAGTTCACTTTTTAATTGTATTAATGATTTACTTATAGAAATGAAAGTTATACCATTTTAAAATGGATCTTTATAAGTGGTTGTTTTCACTTTATGTTACAAGTATATATTCATGATTGTAAAATGAATTTTTTTAGCCATGGCAGATATGTTGTATTTAAATAATGTCAGTTTCAGTTTTGAAGTCTTTGAGATGTTACACATTAACTGATCTTTCCGGGAATATTTTGGGAAAGTAATCTCTTCACATATGTTCTCTAAAGGAAGCTGAACGAATGCTTCAAGATGAAGAAGATACTGTGCACCTTCCATTTGAAGGAGGAAGTCTCTTGCAAATTCCAGTCAAGGCCCTAAAATATAGGTGAGACAGCACTTTATTTTGTAAAGTGTATTTTATATACATGTCAAGTGCATGAATAAGCCTCATCATCTTTCCTTAGCGATTTCTGATTTTAAAAATATGATAAAATCTAGATCTGATACGTCAGGTAAAAGAGGACTACGTGCAATTTGAAAGGGAAGTCCCTCACTCACTTTCCACCCAGATTCTAGGCGGGAATGAACAAAAAAGGTAGCCTTGGACCAGAGCTTTAAACTAACTTCCATGCCAGGCCAGTAAGATTTACTTGTCTTCCTACACTCCATCTGCCTTAGTAAAAGTTTTATATACTTACACACACGTTTATTTTTATTATGAGTACATAATAGTTGTGTATCTTTATAGCACATAGTGTGAATTAATCAACTCAGGTTTACTGGGGTATCTGTCACCTCAGACATTTAACATCACTTTGTGGCATGAACATTCCAATTTCACTCTTTTAGTTATTTTAAAGTATACCCTAACTTGCTTATTGGCACTGTTGTGCTATCAAATCTTGTTCCTTGTCCCTAACTGGCTATATTTTTATACCCATTAGCCATCCTCACTTTATCCCCCATTCTCAGCTATTCATTCCAGTCTCTGGCAGTCGTCATTATTCTACTCTGTACATGAGATCAGTTGTTTTTTAACATTTAGTTTTTGTGTATGAGTGAGAACATGTGAGATTTGTCTTTCTGTGCTTGGCTTATTTCACTTAACAAAATGTTGTTCAATCTCATCTATATTTTTGCAAATGGCAGGATATCATTTTTGAGGCTTTATATTATTGTATGTATGTATCACAGTTTCTTTATCCAGTCACCCACTCATGGACGCTTAGTTTGATTCCAACTCTCGGCTGTTGTGACTAGTACTACAGTAAACAGGAGAGTGAGGATACCTTTTTGATATATTGAATTCCTCTTCTTTGGATATATGCCCAGCAGTGGGATTGCTGACAGTTCTATTTTTAGTTTTTTGAGGAATCTCCATTCTCTTCTAATTTACGTTCCCACCAGCAGTGTATGAAGGTTCCCCTTCTTTCAAATCCTTGCCAGCATTCCTTATTGCCTTTTTGATAAATGACACTTTAACTGGGGTGAGATGGTATCTCATAGTTTGGTTTTGGTTTGCATTTCTCTGATAACTAATGATGTTGAGCCATTTTTTTCATATCCCTATTGGCCATTTGTATGTCTTCTTTTGAGTTCAGAACCTAATGAGATTGTGTTTTATTGTTGAGTTGTAAGAGCTCCTTATATATTCTAGTTATTAATCTGACATCAGATGATTAGTTTACAAATATTTCCTCCCATTCTATGGATTGTCTCTTCACTTTGTTATTGTTTCCTTTCTTTTGCAGAAGCTTTTCAGCTTGATGTAATCCCATTTGTCTGATTTTATTTTAGTACCTGTGGTTTGGTGATATTTCTCCAGAAGTCTTCTCCCAGACCAGTGTCCTAAAGTGTTTTTCTGTTAGAAGTTTCATGGTTTCATGGCTTAGATTTAGGTCTTTAATCCATTTAAGTTTATGAGAGATAAGGGTTTAGTTGCATTCTAGTGCATATGGATATCCTGTTTTCCCAGCACCATTTATTAATAAGACCGTCACTTCCTCATTATATGTTGCTGGCACCTTTGTAAAAGATAATTTCGGAATGCATATGCGGATTTCCATCTGGGTTCTCTGTTCTGCAGCATTGCTCTATGACATAAAGTTTAAAATCAGTGCATGAGTCTAAAAATACATTTATCCTCTGAGTAGTATAGTTTTTTTCCATTTTGTTCTTCATTAGGACTTGGCTCAATATGTGATGGAAAATAACCATTTTCAGAAATCCATAGATACGTAGTGTCAGTAATCCATTTTTTGATAGCTTTCCAAATGTAATTATTTTTAGGGACCCTAAAACTCTGCTAGTTTCCAAAGGTGTGATTTGACCACTGGTACTGAGGGCTTATATTATGGAAAAATTAATGTGTCGTGTGTAATTTATCATGTGTGATTTTGCTGATTTGTATTTAAATTTGAGAACTAAAGATATAGAGGGAAGTACAAATTATTTTTATAGTTTAAGTTGGCAATCTGTATTTATAAACATAACCTAATTCTTATTTTTTTATTTCAAATTAATATGGGGGCACAATTTTTGGGTTACATTGTTCTCACTTCCAGGGTAAAGTTCCATTTGTAAAAGAGCCCCTTACTCCCAGGCCATGTATACACCCTCACAATGTGCACACTAGGCGAGATCCTCTTTCTGCCAATCGTCCTCCCCATTCTTGCTTCCCTCTACCCCCGAACTAGACTATATTAGTGTTTCATTGTTCGTAAGAGCACGTAATTGTTTATATATTGATTTCATTTTAGTATGGAGAATATTGGATATTTATTTTTCCATTTTTATGATACTTTACTAAGAAGAAAGAAACACACATTTCCATATGTGTTTCATTTCTGATTAGCTGTTATCTAGAGAAATAGATTTTAGACTGTATGTCGTTTCCTTCCTTTCCTGACCAGTTGATGGAAAATGTTTGTTGGTGTTTGTTTATTTAATTATTATTTTTTTGAGACAGAGTTTCTTATGTTGCCCTTGGTAGAGTTCCGTGGCGTCACAGCTCTCAGCAACTTCCATCTCCTGGGCTTAAGTGATTCTCTTGCCTCAGCCTCCCAAGTAGCTGGGACTACAGGCGCCCTCCACAATGCCTGGCTATTTTTGTTGTTGTTGTTATGGTTGTTTAGCAGGCCCTGGCTGGGTTCGAACCCACCAGCCCTAGTGTATGTGGCCAGTACCCTAAACATTGAGCTACGGGCACTGAGCCTAAATTATTCTTTATAGGTTTTATAGGAGTCACATTTGGACCTGAACATGGTGATTAGTTGTGATAAATGAATTAATCAACTAATTTTCCTTTGTATTTTTTGCTATTATTTCATTATTGGTATCATTCTTTTCACTTTTTCAGGATTTTTCCTCCAATTTTTATGTACTTTAAATGTCAAGTATAGACTCTCAACGTATCTAGTTATATAGTGCCTTGCTTTGCTAGGTCTGTAAATCTTTGTTAAGTGAATTAATATTATTGATTTACTTATTAAGAAAAGTATAAGAACTGGCACTATTATTTGTAACTATCACCAATTTGCTGAGAGTACCTGCCACTTAATTTCTATGTTTTTTTTTTTCCTGGGGGAGGGTAGAGAAGGTGGCCTTCAGGAACTCTGAAAATACATGCACCTGGCCACTTAATTTCTGTCCCACTTTATCAATTTCTTAGTGTAATTTATACATGGACCTTGACAAATATAAGTAGAGTCCATATTGTCTGATATTTAACAAAAAGAATGGCTATCTCTGGTTTTCCTTTTGTTTTTAAGTGCTGACATGAGTTGTGATTAATGCTCCTGTGCTTAAAATTTTAACATCAAGAATACCAGGAAACAGCTAACTTGCTATTTGGCAGAATTTTATTAATATATCTTAAGTAACTCTGGATTACTTTCCCTGAAGATCAAATGAGAAAATACATGAAAGCATTTAGAAGTTGTTAAGGCCCTATAAAATATGAAAATAATTATATATATAAATTATTACATAAAATGCAGGCAGAATTTTTTCCATCTAGCTTTATTTTGGGAGAAAACAAAATATCTTCAAAAAAGTAGTTAATTTCTACTAATGGAATAGCTCTTTTTCTTAAATTTCAAAATATTATGGGGTACAAATGTTTTTGTTACATGCACTGCTTTTATGATGCTTGAGTCGGGGTTATAAGTGTGCTTGTTATCAAGATAGGTAGGTCTTTTGACCGTCCCTCCTTCCTCCTCCCGCCTACTTGAATTCTGTTGAGCGTTACCAGCGCGTGTGTGCTGATCAGTTCCAATTTAATAGTGCGTACATGTAGTTGGAAATCGTTCTTACTTAGAGGAGGATGTTTAGAAGCTACAGAGTTTGTCAAGAATTCCTCTCTTTAGTTATTTGAAGTTGGCAACCAAGTAAATAAACGTTTACTCAGGGGTAGGCAGAGTTTCAGGTTGGATGGCTCTGCCATTATGAACTTGGGATTCAAATTTTGTTCATTTTTTAAAAATTGGTTTGATAAAGGTAAAGTAGCCATTTATAGAGACTTCTTAATGCCCATGTCACACTTCTTTGTAGTCTTAAATTTTAAATAACATTCTGAATTTAAGGGCAGCGCCTGTGGCTCAAGGAGTAGGGCGCCGGCCCCATATACTGAATTTAAGTGTGAACAGAGTTAGGACTTTCTAAATGACTGCTACATAGCTGCCATCACATTGTTAATTTAACATTACTTAATCATTTTATTTATAGCTTGTTGACATGAATGCTTTTTTTTTTTTGAAGAAAAAGGAGTTCCAAGTATATTTCTCTTAACTTTATGATACTTTCATATTATTTATGGCTGACAAATTTGAGCCCCAAATTAATTATTTATAGATTTCATCATTATTGAATTTGGAGTCTTGAAGTGATTTTTTTTGTAATTATATCCTAGAAACACAGAATGGTTGTATTTATCTCTTACTGTAATAAATGGATAGCATTCCGTTATTTGATTTTAGTAAATTTGATAAAATGATACTTTGGCACTAAATATGTTAATGCCAGTTAAAATTGGTATTTATGAAGCCGTTTTATGTTATCTGTGGAAGTATTTTCAGAGAGCTTTGGATTTCATTTTAAAGTGTTACTTTTCTGAGCATTCTTTCTAATGATTTGTAAAAGCTATGTTGAACAAGATTTCTTAAATTAAATCTTAATTTTTCTTACATATTCTGGTTATTTGATAAGTTTGAATGTATGCTAATTAGGAATGTTTTCTAATTGATTTGAAGCTACCTTTTTTTTTTTTTTTACATTTATAAGCATGTTAATATATTCAATGGTATTTCAGTAGTATACTTATAACCAAGATGATCAGAGGGCATCATTCCTGGAGCCCCAATTAGATTGAATTCATTTATTTCAGAAATAAAATCTTTCTAAGTTAATTTTATTCCCCTACTTTTGATAATACAGAAAAATATAATCCTCCAAAATGTCTTGATAACAGAACTCCAAAATTCTGATAGCTTGCTAGACCTTCGTTGAAGTCCATTGCAAGGGTTTTCTCAATTTTAAGTTGATGAAAGCAAATAATTATATAGATAAGAATGACAATATTAATGCTTTTGCGAGTACTGAATACTAACCAAAAAGTATATTTGTTCTTCAGTGTTGATCCCTCAGTTGTTAACATATCAGATGAAATGGCCAAAACTGCACAGTGGAAGGCACTTTCCATGAATACTGAGAATGCCAAAGTAACCAGATCTAACACGAGGTAGTTATAACTATTTATGCATTTTCTAATATAGCCAGTTTTTAGTTTACTTATGGATAGCTTTGCAATAAAGCTATTAAATTTAACTTTAATTTATCTACTTAATACTCTCCTTGCTTAAATAAAAAAAAACAACCTTCTTCCTTTCTTCTTCCTTTTTTCCTTTCATCCATCGTTTTGCTGGAATCAGATTTAGGTAATCATGGTTCTGTTATTTTTAATCTTACAGTTAGTTGCCTATTTCAAAAATGAATTTGAGGTATTTTATGATAATAAATTTTACATAGCAGTATGTAAAAAATATATAAAACATCAAAAATCATACAGAGAAATATATAATTGCCAGGTAGTAAATAAATATTGTAATCGAACACTACCCCAATCATGTTTTCTGATTGTTGAAGACAAAAGAAAAGCTCATGTGTTCTTGTTGTGTTTTGTTTAGTTTTAGCGTATCATTTCTTCAGGTGAGGTAAAAAGAAATATCTTCCTGAAAGATATTTGGAGGAAATTTTATCCACTGATACAAAAGCCATTCAGTTTATAATAGACCATGTGTTAAAACTATTAGATAACCCTTTCCTTACATTTATTATTATGTAACCCCTTTACTTTTTATTGCCCTCATTTTAAGGCCTGAGCCCTTGGGGGTTCTATTTTGATAATCATAGATACTTTACTTCCTTTAGTTCTCTGAAGAAATGAGTCATTGTCTTGTAGGGTTCTCAGTCATTTATATTCAACAAATATTTCTTTGCTGCATGCTGTATGTCAGATGCTATGTTAGGTGTTTATATATTCTGCTGGGGTATCAGTATAGTCAGTCACATAGCTATTTCTGTTTAGTTTCTGTTTTTCTTAGTTCATTGCTTCCCTAACCTCTTTCAGAACCTTTTTCCTTCTTGGTCTCTTTGATTATATGTTTTTCTTTTCTATCATCTGAGTTCTAATTTCGAAGCTAGGCTGTTTCCTTTCTTTACTTCTGTATTTAATCTTTAATCTTAAAATGTTCTAAAGTTAAACTGTCATTTTGGATATTCAGTGCAGCCAGAATTTTACTAAATATTCGTTTTTACTCTTAGTATATACATTTTTCACATCTCGTGAGTGCCCCGGCTCTGTTTGTTTGTATAGTTATGATTAAAAATAAAGGCCTTAGAATAATACTAATGTATCCTTTAAACACTTCTCCCTTTCATTTGGGTTGCCCTGCAGTTCAATAGTCCATGAGAAAGAAGAGAATCTCTTGGCAATGATGTTTAACAGAAAAAAGTGTTTTGCTGGACCTTTCTTTAAGTTTTTTAGAGAAGGCATATATTTGAAAAACTTTTTTAGAACCCAGATACTCATATGTTTCAATTAAATCAATCCATTAAGTCCACATATATAGAGTCATTGTGTTTGATACTAACTTGTACATACAGAATGTGTGTATTATGAGCCAGATTTGGGGGAAAAAGTTTTGTGAATTTGTAGGAAATTATTTGATACTTATCTATATTAACAAAAATTTATTTATACATAGACTTGTCAGTGTAATAATAGTCACATGCAAGGCTGGGCATGGTGGCTCACTCCTATAATTCCAGTACTCTAGGTGGGTGGATTGCTTGAGCTCAGAAGTTTGAGACCAGTCTGAAATTCCCTTCTCTACTAAAAATAGAAAAATTAGCTGGGTTGTGGCGGGCCCCTGTAGTCCAAGCTACTCAGAAGGCTGAAGCAGGAGGATTGCTTGAGCCCAGGAGTTTGAGGTTGTGGTGAGCTAGGCTGAGGCCATGGCACTCTAGCCTGGGGGACAGACTGAGACTCTGTCTCCAAAAAAAAAAAAAAGTCTCATGCTATATTCCTGTTTGTACATAAAGTAAAACTGATACATCAAATATAGACATATACTAAACAGTTTTAAGGACCTCTTCTTTAGTTATAAGAAAAACATAAATTTCAATTGCAAACATATGCAGTTTTTCAAAAAATAGAACATATATATTTTTTAAAGACAGTGTCTCTCTGTTGCCTAGGTTGAAGTGCAGTGGTGCATTTGTAGCTCCCTGTGATCTCAAACTTCTGGACTCAAGCAGTCCTCCAGCGTTAGCCTCTCATCAGTGTTCCACCACACCTGGGTAATTTCTAAACCTTTTGTAGAGCCAGGGCCTCATTGTATAGCCCAGGCTGGTCTCAAACTCCTGGCCTCAAGTGAGCCTCCTACAGTGGCCTCCCAAAGTGCTGGGATTACAGGTATGAGTCACCATGCCTAGCCAAAAAATAGGATTTAAAAAAATACACCTTTCCATTTAAGTTTACTGATAATTGTCATCTCAAAAGGCTTAGTATTGTACTCATTGTTGACCATATTTAGAATTTAATATTTCTTTATGTAAAAATTATTTATTCTCATTCTTTGTTTTAAATAGCCCTGAAAAACCTGTGAGTGTGAAAATTAATATTGAAGATCAGCCAAGAAAGAAATACATGGATGCTGAAACTTCAGTATAGAATTGAACCAAGAGAAATTATATAGAGAGAGATATATGGATATATACATATATAACGTGTGTGTATCATGTCAGTATATAACAATATTGTACGTCACACTATTTATACGTGACTACTGGTTTTTTTAAAGTAATGTCTGAAGTTTATTATGAGCACCATGGAGACTCTGTATATAATGAAATGGTCTCTTAGAAGTGAGGTACATGATTCTAACTATTCAAATATTTATTCTGTTGGAAATTTTTTTTTCTATTCTGCAGTAGAAAGATGTGGAGAAATGCTTTCAATCTACTTTTCTTAAATCTCTTTGTTATCAGTTGCAATTCATACCAACTTGAAGTGATACTTATTTCCTTCATATATTTATAGTTTTTACACAAATTTCTAAAAAAATTTTAGATGTTATTTCACTTTCGTTAGAAGTGCTTTATAGGAAGACCAGGGAGTCTTTATGCCAATGCTGTGGGAAAAATGATAACATGTCATGGGTTTTCTCTGTGTGTGTTTCATTTCTATAGCGGTCTATTATGTTTCACAAATGATGGCATTTTCTTGGCCAGGGAAACGAATGTAGAACAATGGAAACTTTATAAATAAGAACAATAGTTTTTAACCTTTGTGTTTTAGAACTTTTTAAAAATATGTTTCCATTATAACAAGTAAAATTGCAAATGATTTTATAATTAAGTGTCCATACCAGTCATAACATAATGAATTTTAAAAGCTGTAAAATGCCAATTTACAATAGTTAAATTTTGTTGCCTTTGTAGAATTTTTTTTCTGAATCCTTATATTCTTTTAGGGCCCATAATTCCCATTCCGTTTTCTGCCTTTGTTCTCTTTGTCTTAGTGGTATGGTTTGTATCAGGTTCACGTTCTTGATTATTTTTCTGGTATAAGTAGTATGATTAATCAGGAGTCAGAATTTTCTCATGTGGGGTTTATGATCAGTATTACTTCATTAGGAATTTCTTGTGCTTTCTGTTATTAGTCTTTTATTGTGTAGATTGTATTTAATAGATTGTTTCTTGTGATTTTATTTTAATATTTTATTTATTTTAATTGATGTGATGCTTAAAAACTATATCAACATTTGAAAAGGTAACAAATAATAGAGTAAATTGTTAATGTAAATAGTGGTGCTCACTTGCATTTATGTTCATTATCTGAAAGCAGTTAACAGATTTTATCTTTGATATAAAGCACTGCCATATTTGTGTTTTAAAAGGAAATTAGACATTTTATATTTAGTTCAGATTGATGCCATTCTTCCTGTTTTGTGTTCATAATTGTTAGTTTTTGCTCTTCTGAGCTGTATTTTTAATTTCTAACAAATCTTTTTAGTCATCTTTTATTCTTAGCTCCACATAAAATAAATAAATGTTCTTGTTGAGCCTGTAGGACTGGATGAATGGGGTTATGAAACTGATTTGGCAAGAGAATAATTTATACAAGTCTAATGAGTATTGAGATGCCACAAAAATATTAAAAATGGTGACATGAATATTAGGGTGAACATTTTAGTGAAATTCAGTGCTTTCTGTAATTATTTATAGTTAAATACAAAAGCATAAAGAGTTGATCTTTTAGTTTTGAGGATCATGAGGAATGCCAAAAGCTGATATTTTAGCAATTCTGGTGTTTTTAATTTATTCTAAACTCCTTTTTAACTAATGTAATTTCCTCATCTGAGACCATATCGTGAGATTTTAGTTACAATGATGGATTCGACTTCTGCCTCAGCTGGGAGGTTGGAAATTTAGCTGCTTTTCTTTAGAAAATATAGCTGACATCATTTGGTACTGCCTAAAAAAGTTAGACTGATGGCAATTGATAAGAGTATTGCCCATGGTGCTTAGGATTGTTAATGAGCTTCCGTCGAAGTGATTCTTTTTTATTCATAGCAGCATAAAAGCATAATCATTTCCAAAGACCCTAGTATTTGCTGCTATTTTTAAAACTCCTCTGATGTACCTGAACAAGAGGATTCCCTCATATCATTTCCTTGTGTCTGGACATCAAAGGGTTAACAACTGTACTTACGGTTTTAAAATCTAAAATGAAAACTACCTGGGATCGTAGTGTCTCTGTGATTTTACTTAATTATGTATGGTAATTATCCAGTGCCAGGAAAACCATGACTTGCAATATACTTTGCTCTCAAAATGATTTTACTATTCTTATTGTTAACGGTTTCTGCTTTCTTTTGATTACTTGACTTACAAAATGATCTGATCTGACTACTCCATTGAAGAGCAAAGGTAACTCATGTTTAGTCATTAACTGCTTGTTTTAAGTGGTGATGATTTTCTTCCACTATTTTGGAAAAATAACAATCATGAATAGCATTCATTTGTAAGACAGTGAAAAATATAATTTACTTCATATGTTGATTTTTAAATGTTGCCTTAAATAGGTGTATATAAACAGTAGTAATTGTATGTACTGATTTTACCTCAAGGTGCAAAATAATTAAACCTGTACATATTCCATTTACAAAATAAATTCATTTATACAGTCCTGCACTTTCTTAGATGCCTTGATTTCCAGAATGGAGCTTAGTGCTACTGAATACCTTGGCCACAGAGCCATCTCAGGATATTCTTTTCTCCATCCTATTTTATTTATTTATAGATGTCTGTGTACACAAACTATGGTAAATCCTGATGCTGACCATCTGAAATTTACTTTCTTCTGAATGCTGTTTCAATCTAAAATAGCAGCTTTTGAGAAAACAATGAACTGACTTCCTTATGATAAAAGGATGATTCTCTGTATCTTTAATAGTATTAGATATGCTGAAGTGAAGCACACCATCTTTCTAAAGTGTGTGCATGTGTGTTTATGTATATTTGTGTGTGTGTGAGAATGTTACTAGTCTTAAATCTCGTAGGTTGTTTAAGAATGCTTTGGTGTTCATGTTTGCCAAATCTTCTGTAAAAATGTGTAGTACAAAATTTTTATGTGCTGATGCATACATTATAATGCAGATGTGTTTGCCACTTAAAATTATTAACTTTTTTGTTTTTCTCTATCAAAAAAAGCATTTCTGTTTCTTCCACAGTGCGAGTATAATAGCTTTCTAACTTCTACTTTTCACAAATGTAGGCTCAAAGTTCTGTAGAAAGACAAATGCCCTCTGAAACTGAGAAGTAACAGCAAGAGCTTGCTTTGTTTAAAGGAATATATCATGTACATCAGTTCTGTAAATGTGCTCCACAGTTTAACATGTGAATAATATTTTAAAGTGCTCAGATTTCGGATGTGTAAGCCATTGATATAACATTGTAATTCAAAATGTTTATATTAAATAACTTAATGTTTTAAATTTATTTATGTAGATCACATCATTGTTATCGTATGCAGTGAAAATATGTGAAATGTCTTTTGCTTTATTCCAATAATTATTTATTTTTTAGAAAGTAAATTTAAAGACTTCAAGGACATTCAAAGTTAAAAATAGTGTTCAAATTGCAATATTTGGGAATTTTAATGTGTAGTCTTTTTTTCTGACTTTTTTCAAAAAATAAAATGTCAAGTTTAGAAAAACATAATTGGAAATGGAATCAGCTAAAGATCATTTTTAAAATTAAATTTAATTAGCACGTATTGACTATGTTTGCACACTGATTAGTTTTTTGTTGTGGCTTTTCTTTTGTTGCTTTATTATTCAAGGTTTTTTTCCCTCCTGGGGTTGGGGGGAGGTTGTCTTCTAATGTTTACTACTTTTACATAAGCAAAAATTGAATTTTATTGTTCATTTATATAATATTTGATACCTTGGTGTAATTTCGCAGTACAATTCCAATTTTTATGACTTTTATAATTACACTGATCCTTTCTTTTGTAATAAAATCCAAAGTAAATTAAACATTCAAATTGTAGAACTGTTATTTTTCATTTATATGAAGTACAAGTCTCTACTGAGTTTATAATGTGAACGATCCTGCCTTTCAAATTTGTTTTGTAATTGTTAGAGGAAAACTATTTTTTTGGAGATGTTATTGAAGTTGATTGAGCAATAAAAGTCTACTTAATTTGTTTTGGCTATTTTCTTTACTTTATACTTTATGAGAAGAGCCAGATCTCTTTCTCAACTTGAGATGGGTGGGAAAATGAGTGATTTCTGTTTCCTACCTCCTAATGTTGATGTGTTTCAGTGGGAGAAAGAAAACAAGATGAAACAAAATAGTTGCATTTTTGCAATGATATTTGATAGTTAAGAAATAGTGAAATTAAAACCATCTTAACAAGGCTGTTCCATTTTTTCCCCCTATTTTAAGACACGTCTATTTAGAAATTTTGCTGTATGATATGCAGTGATTTGCACGATAACACCTCTCGGTGGTTCAAGGCTTGCTTTTTTCTTTTTTGTATTTAATGGCTGTTTTTTATTATGAATTCTTTCCTTAATACCTTAATAGCAAATGCCAGATCTTGGATTGTTTTCCATCTGGCATGTGTGTGTATAACACTTTCCTCTTGTGTTTTCTGCACTAAAAGCTTCTGCTGTCTCACCATGAATTTTATAACGTTTGGAAGTTAGATGGGTAAATGTGCTTACAGTTTAGGAAATTTCATTTGAAAATTTTGTTTGTGTTTATTTTAGGAAAAACATATTTTTGTCAGCATATAATTCCAGTTACAGAACACTGAGAAGTTTTTTGGAGGAGAGGAAGAAGAGGAAAGGAAAATAGTAAATTTCTCACTTTTTGTTTGCGCTAATTGAGGCATATCTGATTTCTTGAGTATTATTTTTTTCCCTGGTTTACCTTTGCTTTTCTCCCTCTGTGCCTTTCATGAAAACATGTCTGTTGTTTGGAAAACCTTCCTTTACACTTCTCTGTTATTCCCTTAAAGCCTAATTTAAATTCTGCCAATATTTGTAAAATTTACTCAGCCTTCTGTCTCAGTCTACAAAATCACTCTCACCCCCTCCACTCAAACAAAGTGTATGTGTGTGATTTAAATAGCCTTTTCTTGCCCTACCCTAGAGGCATTTTAGAAATTTGGGGAAGTGGTTTTGTCTTTTTGTTGTGTCCATCCTGATTATGTATTTCAGTGCATATGTGAGTTACCTTTATTTCTTTATGCTATAGTTGGGACATTTTCCTGTTAATACTTTTGACCTATATAATTTACATTATCTATGTATCATTCATTTCAGGATAGTAAACAGGGTATTAGAAAACAAAAAAT